AAGATACCAAGATGTATTGAAGGTGTATGAGCACCACAATGCATAATGGAGATGTTTGCAATCTATCACTTCCTTTATTTTTTCTAGAATATTTTAATTCCATGATGTCATTATGCCACTAACATTTTAGAAATTATATTTTCCTGTTTGAAGGTGGGATATAAATGACTCTGTAAATCTATGTAACAGGAAAGAGTGGGCCTGCTTTCAGTCCTGGCTGCCCTACTATTTTACACCTGAAATAATCACACAGAAACTGTATTCATTTAAACACTGCCTGGCCTATTAGTTCTAGTCTCTCATTGGCTAACTCTTACATCTTGATTCAAGCCATTTCTAATAATCTATATGTCACCACAAGGTCGTGGCTTACCGGGAAAGATTCAGCATGTCTGACCTGACAGTTCCATAGTGGCTCTCCATCTCCTTCTTCCCAGGATTCAGTTCTGTCTACTCTGCCTACCTAAGTGCTGCCCTATCAAAAGGCCAAGGCAGTTTCTTTATTCAACCAATGAAAGCAACACAAAGACAGAAGAACCTCCTACACCAAATTTAAGAAAAGCCTGTAAGCTAGCCATAATCTTAAAATCAAGAGTAGTACTAAGAGAGACTAATCCTATCCTCACCAAGAGCACAGTGGCCACTACTACCAGCACTGTTAGGGTTGATTCTGTGCTAATTATACATTGTCCTACCTGACCCTTCAGAAGCTCCCTTATATCGTATAGAAACTATTAAACTTACTGGCATGAAATGTATGAGAGAGGCCAAATGTGTTCTCCCGAGCAGCATACTGAGAGATGGCATATGCACAATGATTCACTTTTCCAAGATCTGGTTTGTTATCCAGGCTGCTCACCAGCTCTCTGTAGTCTGGCATTTTCTTAGGAGACAAAATGGAATCAGCAATGGCTTAGCCTCTCTCCTTTTCTTTTCTAAAGGCATAAGATCAATTTAAGTTAAGAGAACAAATTGTTGCTAGATGTATTGCCTTGGAATTTCTGAATGTGTCAAAGGGAACTGTGGGTATAGCTCAGTTGTAGGGCACTAATCTGTCATGTAAGAGACAATAGGTTTGGGCTGTAGCACTACACATAAACAAAAATGACCAGATGCATCTATGACATCTCCTTGTCAGTGATACATTGAAAGTAACATTTTGGCAAGTCTGCTTGTCATTCTCTAAGATCATCCCTTTATACTAACCTGTGTTTAATTCCTATACAACAAGCTTAGTCAATTGGAAGGGTCAAATGTTTGATGTGACATATATGTGTCTGTTTTCTTATATTCTGTCATGTAACAGAAATGAATTTTTCTATTTCCAGTAATGTGCTAAACTAATAGCAGAGTTTTATGCAATCTGGGGATTCATGAATGTGAGTTGATTTGTCTTGCATTATAGTCAATGTCATAAAATTAAGTTATTGGAAATTGTCTCTTTGCAACTGTACCTCAAAATACCTCTGTATATCTTACATTTGTCTTATGTGTCGGTTCTTCTCTGTGCTCCAATAATTGGTTTTATCTTTGAGCTCTGGCACGAGTCATTAAATTCAAATTCTTTCTAAAAAGATAAATAGGATTATAATTTTATTGCTGTTTTCTGTTTCAAAATATATTTACTTAATAATGTGCCCTTTAGGTTTCTGACAATAAAATAAGTCTGACCTTCTACCTCAGTCTGGGAGCTATTTGGGGATTCTGACTTTAGAATTTAAATCTTGCTTAAAAGGTTCTCAGATTCTCTAGTCATTGTTGGACAACCCAGTGTGTAGTGTGTAAGTCAGTCTAATATATTGCCTTTGTAATTGTAAAAAAAAAGTGGTCTCCCTTTTTACCTTTTAAGATTTTAATGTCATACCTGATGAGCACACAAATTGCCGATAACTGGAGGACAATTCCTGTAGAAGAAAAGAATAATCTATATTCTGAAATTTGACTTATATCTAAGCATGTAGGTTTATTGTGTGTCATTTCTGTTTGTTTTGTGATAGAGTCTATATTGCCTTGACATGCCTGGTCCTTACTATGTATATCAAGTTGACCTATGATTCTCCTGCCTCTGCCTTCAAAGTATGGAGATTGCTACTGTAACTCTCCCATGCCCCTTTATGGGATACAATGTCTTGGTTGATCTTGAAGGCACATACCATTAAACTTCCAAGTCTGATGGATGCTCCTGAGCAACACACTTTTATGAGCTACTCTACTACAGCAATTAGAGACCATTTAATTCATTAGTCTAGATCAGGACAATCAATAAATGAGCCAGTTCTGATTTACTTGGCTGTCCTTAATTCTCGTTATGATGATACATTAGATACTAACCTAGAAATGTGGCCTCCTAGCATCATCATGGTTTTAAAAGCTTTACTCCTTACAAATACATGTCAATTCATTAAACACACATGTGAGATGCCATTGAAGCTATCAGTATTAAACATTAATGTAATAAAATGTTAAATAATATAAGAGTCACTATAGGTAGTAAATTCAAATGATTATTATCTATTGTTTAGGAGGGAGGGAAAAGGAAAATTCAAAGGGAAGATGTTAATATTTTATTTGCACATTCAGTTTTTGAAGTAAATGGAATGTCTTGCAGCTTTATGCTAATGTGTATATCTCAGATGTTTTTCTGATTAAAGGCAATGTTTATATTCATTTTTCTTTGTTGATTAGAATAAGTTATTTCAGAAAGAAAATGAGCTGTCAATCATCACAGTCATAGGTCTGAAAATAGATTCAATTATTTATATAAGTTGTCATAATTGTAAATATTTTTAAGCAAGCAAAGATAACTTTGGCTTTTCAATTCCCATTTTGCTGACAGACAATTAAGATCAGACAAAGTAAAATAATGCATAAAATAAAATATTTTCCCAATTAGTATATTCTGAGGGGACTGTAGGGGAAGGGAACCTTATCCTTCATGATCATTGTATAATTTCTCAAAGTCAAAATACAAAAGTAATTGTTGTTAATGACTATTCCCCAACTCATAAAACAGTAGCATTTGGTTTTTTTGTTTGTTTTTTACTTTAAATGTGACCCACTCCTATATGTATAGGGAAGACACATGTGACGTCTAGTGTTAACTGTCAGTTTGACAGAATCTAGAATGATCTAGGAGATAGGCCTGCAGTTATACTTTTTGGGCACTATCTTGATTGTGTTAAATTGAGGTGAGAAACCCCATATATTGTGAGTGGCACCAATCCTTGGCTAGGATCTTAAACTACTTATGTAGCAAAAGGGAAAAGAACAGTTACAAGCATGCATTCATGTCATTTTCTGGATTTAAAAGCAATGTGGCCAGACTCTTCATTTGCTTGCTGCCTTGATTTCTCTATTTTGCTAGACTATGCCATGAAACCTGAGCTAAAATAAACCTTTCATCCCTTAATGTGTCAGAGTATTTTTCTCTTAGCAGTACCAAAGAAATTGAGACCACATTCTTTACTGTCTCTTTCTTTCCTTTGGTTTTGCAGAGCTGGTGATTGAGTTCCAGGGCCTATCACTGAGCTAACTGGCTGCTAAGCTCCTAAAATCTCTTGAGTTGCAATTAGAAGTAAAACTTAAAAGCTAACATATTTGGAAGTAATTTAAATGTAGTGATTTATCTGATTCTGTAATGAAAAATAAAGTAATTGATTTTTTTAGGAATAAGAAAGTTGTTTTCATGAAAAAAATCACACTTTGGAGCAAAATATTGTCTTACTGTCAGAGAAAATATATTATGAATATTATAAAGGTGTGACTCTAATATTTCAGGGAGAAAAATGAAGCAATAACAGGAAGGAAAGTCAAAATTTTAATCATTATTTTATTTTCTAATGGGAATCAACTGATGACTTTTCTTTTTGCTTGAAACAATGGCATATTTGTAAATTTTACTTAAAATATATTGTCTTTCTGTATGTGTGTGCATGCACCTATGTATGTGCATAAGTGGATGTGGATATTTGTGCATGTCCATGAGTGACTGTGTATGTGCTCATATGGAGGTCAAGGGTCAACACTGGATGTATTCCTTCATCACTCTCTACCTTGATAATGCTTTCAGAGTTTCCTACAACCTCTCACAGTATAATGAGTTTCTTTGTCTTCCCACCACTTGGGCATAGCTAGTCTTGCTAATGTTATTTTTGGGCCAGGGCTTATCATAGAACCTGTAGCTAACTAATCAGTTTAACTAGCTAGTCAGTGAGCCCCAGGAACCTGTGGTCTCTATCTTCCTGGCATTGGTTTTGTAGCTGGTCCCAGCCACACCTGTCTCTTTGCTTTGCTTCTTGAGATTCAAACTCAGGCCTTTATGCTTGCATGATTAGTGTCTTACTGACTGATTCCATCTCTCTAGGATCCTCCATTATTTCCTTACATTTTCTGCCTGTCTTACTAGAAATACCATCTTATGTTGCAAAATTTTGAATATGAAAATGTAACTGGGTCATTGTGGGCCTTTAATCCCAGGATTTAGGAGGAGGCAGAGGCAAGTGGATCTCAATGAGTTCAAGGACATCCTGGTCAATAAAGTGAGTTCCAGGACAGCCAGGGAAGTTATACAGAGAAACCCTGTCTCAAAAAGCCAAAGTAAGAAAAATAAAAGAAAAATAAAAAAGAAAATGCACTTTACCAGGAGAGACCAAGATTTGTCTTTATGATCTTTAATATTAATATAAAGAATTGAGTGTGAATTTACTACTTTTTGAATAAGATTAATGAAATTATTCTCATAGCTACCAATCATTACAGAGGGGGAATATCTTTCATTATAAATCTTACTCTGATTTACAAACTGGAATGGTTCATGGTTTACAACGTATCATACATTACATAAGTAGCTCTTGTTTTAAATATTAAGAAGACTAGTTCATGTTTTGCAGTATTGTCAGATAATAAGTTCGTTAGATTGTTAATTTGTTAATTAGGTAATGTGTTTGTTTTTGCTGTGTTCACATTTTAAAGTAGATTAACTGATATCTTGACTTTTCCAGATTTTGCACGTTTTTCTTGGTCGGGACTGGGAAGTACTAGATCATTAAGTTTTTCAGTCTTTGCGTGTTGCCTCCTTTCTGAAGAGTGATGGAGATGCTATTACATGGAAGAGGACTGATCCTGAGTCTAATTTTCCTCCTGTTAAAGTTGTCAAGAGCTGATATACCACTCTCAGGTAAAAGCACTGTGTCCAATTCCTTCTATGGATTTTTTAAAATTGAGCAGGTGTTCAATTTAAAAAAAAATTAAAAAATTTCTCTTTTATTTCTTAACTGTTATTAATAGTCATGGCTATAAGTTTCAGGTTTGGGTTATGATGTTTAGTTGCTCTCGTAACTTTTCACCTTAATTGTTTTGCTTTTTGTGTAACCTTAGTCTGTTAAAAGAAATACAACTGACAGAAAAGTGATGGTTTGTTCTATGTCTAGGATGATCTGGAATATTACAAAAAGTCTTTTCTTTTATATACTTAGTTTATATCTTATTTTAAGGAGAATTTTGATTTAGAAATTACTAACATTATCAAAGCTATAACAAAAAAAGAATAGACTAAGCCTCATTTATTTAAAAAAGATTTTTTATTTGTTTTCAATTATTTATTCGTGTGTTCAGGTGTGAGTATGTGCAAGTGAGTGAGTGTGTCTTTGGGGGCCAGGGGACCGCATCAGATCCTCCTCGAGCTGGGGAACTGGTATGATACTGGAGATAGGAAAGGAACTTGGGTCCTTTGCAAGAGCAGAGAAGGCTCTTAACTGCTAAGCCATTGATCCAGCCCAGAAGCCTCATAATCTTCCCCAAAATTATTTGTACTTAAAAAATGGAAATAATGATTTATGAAGATAACAAAAGGCCATGTTAGAGTTCAAAACTGTATTACCTAATACTGCCTTCCAATTTAGTGTATTCTAGAGTGTGAATTATTTTAAGTCATCTGTCAGTGAGCTTATGAATGTATATTTATAATATCTTGGTAATTGCATGCAAAAGGTTAGTAGTCATCATCCATCATTTTCAACAAATTATATTAATAGTTCGAAATTAATGCAACTGTAATCACACTTTATGTAATGGTTTATACAGGATGAGATGTGGACAATCGAGAACAGATTTTAGCTGTGAAAAGTCCTTAAAATGTGATTCAGATATGTTTATCATGCATTTCTACCAGAGTCCCTTCTGTGTCAGCTGTATATACAGTAGAAGGGTATGAGTTCTTTGTTTATTAGAATCTCAACATTGAAAAATAGCATTATGGATCATGCAAATTCTAAAGAAATCATCTTTTCCTCAGATAATTTAATGAATTGTTTAAGAGTACTAGTAGTGAGGTAAAATTTCCTTTTGAAGTACTTAGACTGAGTGTGACTAGAAAACAAGAAAACCATTTAGGATGTGTTGTAAAATCACCTTTGACAGTCACTCTGAATTGCTTTAAAGAAGCTGTTATGTACACCACACAATGTACTGGTAGTCCAATACTGTCTTGATTCCTCAGGTGAGAATCTACTCTCTTCTATTCTTAACAGGTGGTTGAGCCTCTGTTTCAGTATTCTCAACTGCTAAGGAAGTTTAATTCCCTGTTCTGCATGTATGTTTATATACATATGTACATTTCTTCTAATAAGCTAAAATCTTGCAGCTTGTACAAGTTCATCAAAATTCATCAGTGACCAACTGAGAGTTTAAACACCATCATAATTAGTAGATTTTCTCATTAAAAGAAATTATGTGGGTTTTCTGTTTTGTTGTTGTTGTTTCTGTTTTGGCCTGCAGGTGCATGCCAGGTGTCAAAACAGGTCTGAAGACGGCAATGAATACCCTGGGACTAGAATTCAATGATGGTACAACACCTTATGTGTTCTTTGTACCAAACCTATGTCCCTTGGACAGGTAGCAAGTGCTCTTAATGCTGAGGCATCTCTCCAGCCTCATTAAATTTTCACAGATAGAAACAGCAAGGGTGCATGTGGTATTCCAGATTCAAATGTCTGACCTTATTCTCTAACAAACACATGCATGTTCCCTGTTTCTGCACTTGTTCTTCCATGATGAAGAATGCAAGATTTTGTATTAGCTCTTGTCACTTATTATTAGTCTGTTAGTCTCTGTTACTTATCGTTCATGCTGTAATGTCCTCAGACAATTGTTATAAAATATTAATAGCATGTTTTCAGAGCGACTGAATATTGCCCATGTATTTTGGCACTCTAGAGTACTCACTAGTAAATGCAACCAAGGCAGGTATCCAATTTGAATGTCAACGAGTCTGGTGTCTCTGTAATTGGTCTAATTATGGAGGAAAGGATTTGTAATGTGGAATATATATTCATACAAACACCCAAAGGTTATTAGCTCCATTCCCTGAATAATTAGTTATTGCAAAGCCTTTACAACGTTAGCAAATTTAAGAAGGAATAATGTTGTAATAAACAAGTTGTTCTCAAGTTCTTAGCTGGTATCTTTGGGACTGCGGCTGTGCCTCTCTCTACCATTTGTAACTGCAATAGAATTTACACAGTATGAACTTACAAGGAGCTCAAAACCCACTCTGCCTAACGGGCATTAATCAGAAATGAGACAACTGTCAATGTGGAAGCGTGTAGCAAATACTAAAGTGGTGATTGCTATCCACTGGATGAAGCCTGAATTTGAGCTGGCAGCAGTGTAATTTACCACTTTTGTTAGGCAAAAAGAAAATAAATGCAATCTTAAAATTGAGAAGCGCTTTCGGTTTTTAAGTCTAAACTGGCTGTTGATGCTTAAATGATGGTTTGTGGACGCTTCGGGATCTAAGAGATACATTTAGATGGCCTGTGAGACCCAAGTGATTGGAAAATAATATCCTGGTTCCAGTTCCTACCCCCTTTCACTTTCATTGTCATCTGTACTGATTCTTTGAAATCTATAGTAGAAAAACTTCGCTTTCCCTATCACCAATAATGGCATGAGTTCTGAGCTGTCCAACATGCAAGGTGTGTCTCGTGGTCATACATTCATATTCACATACCGCTAAACCAGCACAATTTTTAAGATTAAAATTGTTAAATCTGTAAAACAATATTAACTTTGTTAACTCTCTACCTCTCAAGAATACTGGGACACACTGTAAAATAGATATAAAATAATTCTGCTGCATTAAAGTGAAAGGATTTCCTTGGTTTTTTTTTCAATAATATCATTGCTTCAATACATACTATTTTACTTGAAAGTATGACTGACAGACTAATTATGGTTGGTCAGATGTTTGCAGGCAGATAGTTTTCCCTCAAAGGAACGAAATGATCCTGACACTTCAAGATAAACTGGAAATATAAGTATAACTGTCAATGACCAAATCTGAATGTTCACGTAAAAATTAGACTTGTAGAAGCCCGAGGCCAAAAGCTTCCAAACATCAGTGACTTTCCTGATTAGATCAGTGGCCATGCTGAGCAGAGTGACATTATTTGATTGCCTGTTAGAAAATATACAATTATTTGTCAGATCTACATCACTCAGCAAATCTGTACATTTTTTTGAAAAAGACTACTGTGTGCTGGTCCAAAAATTATACATAGGTCAAAAAGTTGCTAAAATTGCACAACATAATAGAATAAGAAGAAGCATACTGGTTAAGTTTTAGATTCACACTATAATAGATGTTTAAGAATAAAATGATAACCAAAATTGTCTGACTGGAATTTATAATTTTCCATTCCTTCTATTTGCATGTTCATAGGAAAGTTGAATTTGTACATTTTTAATCATATTGGAATATTTCAACTTATAGAGTGCAGAAGTAAACATGAGAGTTCTGCCATCTCTTTAAAAATGACAGAAGTGCAGTTCTGTAAAATAATGAAACCCTTCTTCTGGTATCTAGTGATTTCCATATGATATTATTTATTATAACCTATTATGGGATTAATTTTAAAAATTAAGTAAACACATGCAGTTTTAACTTCCTATGTAGTTAAAATTGTTACTCATAATCTGGTTAAACAGGGACAATTTTGGTACTTTGTAATTTTAAGGAGGGTGAAGATGTCAAGGGCTGGCCCAGTGTCCTGGGGTTGAAGGACCTATCTGTACCTTTCCTTTTGATTACCCAGTAATCAGTTGCTTGTCTGCAAATTACCTTTCTCAAAAACACACATGCCAAAGTCAGCTTTTGCTACCTATTGCTTTGTAATTCCTTATAAATTAATAATATAAATTAACAGTTGTCAGAATTAAACTAAAGAATGTCTCAATTTGAAAATGACTGAGTGCTTACTTGAAGTATAGCATTATGTACATAATTATGTAGATAATTATCTTTGGTTTATTTCAAAACTTAATCCAAGTTCTTGTCTTCGGCATCCATGAATTTTGTGTACTTCTATTTTACATTGATTTTAGAATGGGGAATGACAATTCAAGTAAGGAAGAAAAATAAAGATAAATTCATGAATGGATAGTGTCAAATCCCAAGGAAGATTGTAGAAAAGTATTTATCAACAAAAATAATAAATAGAAATCAAAGAAAGAAAAAAATCCTTTTGTAATAAGTATGGACTTTTGGCAGATCTTAATTAGCCATTGATCAATGATTTCAGACTATCAGTACCACACTAATCACACATTGCTTGTAAAATGATTTTGGCATTTATCCCCAGAGCCAGTTCCATTATATCTATATCTGAAAATTTATTGTATATTGATACTTCAATAATGAAAAACTCTATAATGCCTGCATATCTATTGAAATAAATATTAACTAGAAAGAGAGATGGAAAATAAACATGCCCTATACTAGAAGAAATATCAAAAAAGACCCAGGATGACAATAGGGTAAATATACTAAATTAATTAATTATAATATTTATATAAAAGCAGTGAACATTACAGAAAAACATTCCAAATGATAGCAATTTCTAAAAAATCAGTGCACATGCCTACATAAATGGCATGCCAACAATTTTAAAAATAAATATTAAAGTTATCATATGATGTTTTTCTTATGTTTTATAAATTGTCTCATATTTCTGGGGTTAATTGAGAGTTATGTATGAAGCAATATAAAATGATGGCAGGGGAATATTTTTCTTAGACATAAATACATGTTAAAAAGAAGTAAAGTTCTTGGGATAGCCTTTGCTTTGCATATTAATTACTGTTCTTATTACTGTGGTAGAGTATTTGTGAAAGTAAATGTAAAAGCACCTATGAGAGGGCAGGTTTGTTCTGGTTTATGGTTTGATGGGATGGACTCCATTGTGTCAGAGAAGGTGGTGAGAGGCAGATGTAGCTGGTCAGTTTGCACTCATAGTCAAGAAGAAAAGAGTGGTGAATGGTGTTCAGGTGATTACCTCATTTTCTAATATCCATATCTCCACCCCATTGGATCGTGCTGTTCACATTTCATAATTAGGATGGCTCTCTCCTTCTCCTTTAAACCATTTTGGAAACACCCAGATAGATGCACTCCATCATGTGTTTCCTGAGCAGTTCTAAATACAGCCAACTTGACACTGAAGATTATCCATCACACTTTCTGATGTAAAAAGCACATGTTGTTCTGTTATTTAATCTTGTCCTGTTTTTGAAAACCTCTTTCTTCAAGTATATTGTTTTGATATTCAGTTCAACAGGTACCAACAATCATCAAGCAGTCGCATGTGCAAGTTGTTGCCTTTCCTTTTGATGAGTATTTTCAAATTGAATGTGAAGCTAAAGGAAACCCAGAACCAAAGTAAGTCTATTAGAAAATAATATAATAAAATGTTATATAAATAAAACAATGTAATAAAATTAAAATAAAATTCTTTCACATATCTATGGTGTCATGGATCACATAGATATGTGAAAATATTTTATTTTAATATACTATTTTATTTACAAAATATGTCATATATATGTGAAAATATTTTATTTTATGTTGGTTTACTGTGACTATCAAAGTTAGAATACAAATCCACATATGATTGAAACACCAGATTTATAAGTAAATGGTAGTTAAGTCAACTGTTGTGTGATATTTTGATTGTATTTGACAATAAAGTTTGCTTTTGACTCAGAGGGCAGAGCTAGCCACTAGCCTATTAACCTCTGATGTTTTGGAGGATGGAAGATGTAGTAAGACGGGGCTTAGAGAGGTCTTATTCTTTTTGGATGGAGGAATGGAGAGGTAGGAAGAAAGTCACTAATGACTATTCTGTGGCTTCACTGATCTTTATGGTTCTTCTCCTGGTATCTGACCCCATTTTTTATCATTATGAATAATTAGATAAATGCATCAGTTATAAATCCAAATATGTTTATGTAGGTCTCAGAGGCATGTCTACTTATTATTCATGCAACTATTCATGTGTGGTTAGAACATAACTGTGTATTTTTTCTCAAATTCAATTCTGGAATATTTTTCTAAAACTATAATGACTCTTTCCCTATAAATCTACTCTCATTATTTATAAAGCATTTCCCTATAGTAATAACGGGGAATAAATTTATCAAAAGATCTATCTATAGAGTTTCTTACCACTGTAGTACTTATAAGTAGAAAAGCATTGAAATGTGTTAAAAATTAAACAATAACCCATGTCAGAAATATGAGATATCATCATAAAATTACTTTTACTATTACTTTAAAACTGACAGTTTTTAACTGGAAAAATTATATATTTAAGACATATTCAAATGTGTCATACACTTAAAAATGCCAGATAAAGAGGATTAATGGAATTTGTATTTGAGTTTGTCTGTGTGTTTCTTCACATAAACATATATTCAGAGAAGCACATTCTATACTTGTCTTTATTTCATGTGCTAAAATATAGCAGTGATCCAGAATTATATGTGGATATCATATGAATATATAGATATATGAATACATATAATGAGAAATATTTTTACATGCTTTCAATTTAAAAGAAAATAAAACTGCCCTCACTCTCCTTTCTTGCATTTCACTGTATTTTCCTTACTTATAAGACATACTGGATTTGTCTTTATATAATGTTAAGATTTATTATATATATATATTTAAAACTCATAAATTCTCTTGGTTTTATCATTTGTACATTTATTTATTAAAAGTTTTTAGAAATAAGAAATGTCACCAATACTTAGGGTAAATTTTCTTTATCTTCTAGATTTTCATGGACTAAGGATGACAAGCATTTTGATCTTTCTGACCCTCGGATAATTGTATCTAACAATTCAGGCACATTCAAGATCCCAAATGAGGGACACATCTCTCACTTTCAAGGGAAATACCGCTGTTTTGCATCTAATAGACTAGGAACTGCAGTATCAGAAGAAATAGAATTCATAGTTCCAGGTAAGTGTTCATGAAGAGATTTCATTGACTAGTCTAGTAAATTATTAATGGGAGTCCTTCCATCTACAGAAATAAATCAGTATATATTCAACCAGCATACTTTTCATTTACTAGAAAAATTGTTTTCACAGTATAATATTTACAGTCAGATATTGCTACCATGAAAACATTCTTCAGAGGAGTATTCAATGTCTTTCAAACTTATATGAGAAGGAACAATAATGGGCATTAATTATAAAAACTTATTATGTCACATAACTTTAGAATGAAAATTAATGAGCTAACTTAAGGTAATAGATGGTTGTAGTGTGTGTGTGTGTGTGTGTGTGTGTGTGTGTGTGTGTGTGTGTGTGTGAAACTAACTCCAATGGTATACACCATTTACTAGGAGACCCATGCATCTTCAGTATAGAGGAAAATGAGATCTGGAGAGATGACTCAGTCAGTAAAGTGCTTTCCATGTGAGCATGAGAACCTCTGAGCCTATATTTTTTATTCACTTTGTCACATTCCATAAACATATGGCAAATGAACAAGAATTCTGAGTAAAATTACTCTGTCAATTAAGGATGGATGGACATGCATCCTGCTGCCATGCATCACAATGGCTTGTGCCTGTAATGTCAGTGCTATAGCGCGGACGGAACAACAGACAGATCCCTGGAGCTCATGGGCTAGCCAGTCTAGTTCAGTGAGAGAGCCTGTCTCAAAATGGATGGTGGAGTTATATCAAGAAAGGCATTAAATTATCTTTGTTACATACATACATACACACACACACACACACACACTACAAACATAAACATTGTTACATGATCTAGATAACCAGAAACTTAATAAACAATTTTTGTGGGTCAGAAGACTCAACAGAGTTAAAATGTCCATCTATCTTTAATTGACACAGAATAATTTTAGTGAAATTTTAATGAAATGTGACCAGATGAATGAAAAATATACAGAATACAAGGAACAATTTGAAAGCTCTTAAGGTTTAAATGTAGTAAAGACATTGCTTATCATGAATCAGGCCTGAGAATAGTCATAAATACTTAGGCTGGTATGGTTTTGGGTGGGATTTAAAAAGCTGAATTGACCATATAACAGTTTGATATACCCCTAGACAAACCCCACTTACTAGATGAAAGCAGAAGTTGAATTTCTCCCTCAGTCTTCCCCTCACTCCTCATTCTCTTGTCCTTCTTTCTTGTTTCTTTCCCCTCCCTCTCTTCTTCCGTTTCTCCATCCCTTCATCTTTTCCTCCCTCCCTCCCTCCCTCCATCTTTCCCTTTCTCCCTTCTTAGGTCCCTCCTTCTTCCCTCCATCCACTTTTCCCTCTCCGTCCCTCCTTCTTACCCTCCTACCTTCTTCCCTTTTTCCTCCCTTCCACACTCCAGCATTAGCTGGTACCTAACACTTTCTAATGGACCTACAGGGCCCTACACTTGGCATTTTATCTCATTGTGTATCCCTACGCTGGCATTGTATCTCATGAACCTTACCTTATTCTAAGTGTTCTGGGCGTGTTCATGGCTTATCCACTATCAGGAAAAGTATCTTAATATTTTTTTTAAAAAAATGAGAAGTAAACTTTAAAAATTTGGAGATGACATATATTTGTTATTTTAATGAAGATCTTGTAACAGCCTTCCCAGAGATCAGTAGCTTTTGTTCAGTCTTGGGTAATTGAAACTAGGGTTTTAAAGTTCCTGGATTTTTAAACAGAAAATGAAATGATCTGGTCTTGTGAAGGTAAGAATTCATTATTTTGGTCTTTACTGAGATCTCTGTCTCCAGCTTCATTCCTTTAATAAATGAATAGAGTGGGGTTTTCTCCTTCCCTCTTTTTATTCATTTTTCATCAGTTTTAGCTTCAGAGTTCTGTATTATTGTTAAACACAATAAATTTGCAAATAGAAAAGAGACAGCAGTGTAACAGCCAAAGGGAAGGGCCACAAGTGACTCTATTTAGTGTCCTCTCTCCTGTTAGAGTTTCGTCTTAAGATATAAGTACAATGAAAGCGTATATCAACCCTTTATCTTAGCATGTGGTGTCCTAACCTCCTAAAAGATGAATTCGCCTAGGTTACCCCACTTTCCTTGCCTAGGTATCTGTGATTTTCCCCACTTAATAGGGATTTGGAGGGTATCAGCATTTGTGTTTGATGTATACATTTATTTATTTGTGCATATGTAGCATGCAGGGACAGAGAGAATCTAACATCATTTGTAGTGGAATGTACTGTTGCATTAATTTGGGTCTCACATCACAGGAAAGCTGATTCTAGAGTCAGTTGTGACTGACGGCAGCCTGACTACACAGATTCAGGATGCCCCACATTCCACATTCTAGTCTGGCAAAAATTGCTAACATATTTATAGGAATGGACCAGAGAAAGTCATAAATGAAGGACTTTTAAGGATATGTTGGTAGGCACATCAGGCAGGTAGGTTACAGGGCTGTGTGGAAATTTCTGCTACTGGCATCAGATGCTGTCTGATGTCACTCATTGGCGCTGGTCTGAAGAGTGCTGAGATCTCTTTGCATGTCACATAAGAATATTTATAATAATCACAAGGGAGTTAGGGGTAGCAGAGGTGATGAGGATACTAAGGAGGCTAAAGATCATTTAGCTCTGGACTTGCAATATTTCTCCAAAGTCACTGAAGTTCTATCAATTAGCCTCACAGAATGTTCAGCATAAGTTTAAGTTTTGCATGGTTTGGGTGGTTCAGTGTGTAATATATATAAATTGTCATATAAGCTTGCAGATAACATCTCTCAGCATTATAGAGGATTAAGAATACTTGAAATTATAAAAGCAAATCTTATGGAAATGTTCCTAGTATAATTTTACTTAGGTTTAAAGTTTGTAAATCCACATGAAATATTGATTAGGAATAAAATTTTGCTTAGGAAATTTTTATAACAAAAGACTACTGAACACAATATTGAAGATACTAATTGCCACCAATGGAGGTGGGCGGAGCTGGGATCAGGACCAGGTGGAAGACAATAATGCTCTTGGTGGAGTCCACAGTGTATAAAAGAGTTTCTATCATGTATTGTTTTCCTTTGTATAGTCTGAATTTATTTATGCTTTATGAATGTACTCACAAAGGAGTCCACATGTGACATGCCAATGCTGCTGAAGTGGCTGTCCTGGGTTGGGATTATACAGCAAAAGTAATGGATATGTAGACTTTGAAACTTCATTTAGAAGTTAATTTGAAGTGACATTTAGTTAAAAATGTCCGTAAATTTTGGATCACAATGTATTGCCATGAACATTGTGGCTGAAAGTCAAGGAATTATTATAAAGTCAGCACTCTCGAATCTTGGTTTATGTCCCAATGGATGCAAAGAACCTTAGAAGGAATATATTTGAAATTAAAATTTGCATTTTCCCAAACACACACTAATTTTTTCTTAGCCCGGAGACTGCTTTGTCTGTGTTTTCATAAATCTATGTCTCTATTATACATATTTTTTTAGCTTAAATTAGGTTAGAAATATAGGATGAAAGAGAGTGAATGTATATAGTAAAAGACAAGATGTTAGGGTGGTCCTTAGCCTGAATTCAAGTGGTTGCTATGGAGACAAACAAAGCAATAGCTAGACCTGCTGCAAGAGAGAAGTGGGGCAGCTGCATATAAGATACCACAATTAACAGGCTTTAAAAATATTTTCTCTTATTACCTAAGCCATATCAGAGAAATTATGGTGAGATGGGGATAATTCTTGTCAGAATATGACAGAGTTGCAGTTAAGAGGCTGTGGATCAAAGATCAGGGCTTTAATGTAGGTTATTGTTCTCTTTTTTTGCTGCTGCAGAAGCAAGTAAAAAGGATGAGATTTCTTACAAATCGTTTCCAAGCTGTCCTGAAAATACTTCATCATCTGACCTCCACACCAGTACTTCAGAGTTCATAAATAAGACTGTTTCAAGCTTCCTCATTTAACAGTGGATTTTCTCTTAAGCTTCAAGGAATTGTTTTTATTTTCGCAGTGATGGAAACTTGGTGGTTCTAGTTTTAGTCTGTCTCAGAAATCCAGTTCTTATTTAATATAAAGAAAATTTCTATTCACAATGTTTAGTTTCCTATTTTTATAATATCAGAGTTGAGTTTGGTAGGGAGAGGATGAGAGAAAAAGCCGAACAAACAGTTATGCTTAACCTTTCACTAAATGGGATGGATATCTATGGCATAGACCTTGGTGACTTAGTCAGCACATCATTATTAGGTTCTCTTCCTGTTCTAGCCATTTTCCTAGTTGTATTCATGAGATTTCTGCCACTACAGCACAATCTCTGAGAAAATCAGTTTACAAATAGACAAAGTTAGTTTAGTTCACATTTTTGCATTGTCCAGTCCATGATGGGATGGCCTTATTGCTTCGGGACAGATTATAGAAGCACAGTGGGATGGGAGCATGTGGAAGAGTAAAACATGCCTGCGTTTTTATGCAAGGAGGCAAAGAGAAAGAGAAAGGACTGCAGTTCCATAATTCCCTTCAAGATCACCCTCCCTATAACCTGACAACTTAAAATTAGGCCTCACATCTCTAAAGTTCTAGCATCTCCTGGTAGAAACCATGGAGACTTAGTTTGGAATACATGGGCTTTTGGGGGATTCTTACATGAGCCTTAACATTAGTGACTTTGGAGAGCACAGCAAACCAAATATGAATGGTCACATCTTGTGTGGCTGTGACTGGTGTGTGTGTGTGCGTGTGTGTGTGTGTGTGTGTGTGTGTGTGTGTGTAGATGGAAGCTCTTTTCTCTTCTTTTTAATCATCATAGTTTAATCTTGAAGCACAATTAATAAAAGCTCTGAGAAAGAAATTGGTGTTCAACCTGAAGGTCAGAAACACAAAAAACAAACAAACAAACAAAAAACCCAAACAAACAAAAACAAAAAAAAACCCAAAAATTGGCATTTAAGTCTACTTCAGTCTATAATGGCGATCCTGCCTCCAGGAATTCCAGAATGAGACTGAG